CCAGATGTCAATTGATGGGAAGAACTACAACCGACAGCCCAAGGATGCACTTGTCTCGGCTGGTAATTGTACGGACTGAAAGCAGTTGGCCCATTGAAATTATCACAGAAACGAGTATAAGTAAAACACATCATGGCCTTAATAAAATATAATCAAGCAAATGGCTTACGTAAGCCATCCAAGTGTATTTTACTACAAAAGCAAATGGCAAAACAATGCCTTCAGGGCAGATATACAAATAATCTACCAAATGTATATAGAACGAAAGTGAACAAAAGGTAGTTTTCTTAGATGAAAAAGTTATGCCATTTCCTGCCTAATTGCTAAGGCAACAAGCAAATACTTTTTCTTTCACTGGCTGCTCAAAAAACATTAAAGGCAAATATAAACAATCTGAAAAAATAATTTTCCTCTTACTTTTTTGAACAAAAATGTGTTAAAAAGAATGTTGTTTTAGTCTTAACTCAAAAATCTCTTCTGTAAATGTGTTTAAAAATAAATGCATTGAATAAATAAACAATTCCACAGTTAGTAAATTCATTTTATCCTTTTTAGTAATCATTTTCACTCTGCAAAAACCCATTTCCTGAGCCCGCCATAAACTCAACTCTTCAAGGGGCTCTTAAATTTTAAATTCCATATTTCCTGTACAAGTTTTAAGCTCTAGCTAACTGTAAAAAAATGTGGGCCATAAAAAGTTTGCAGGCCAACATAAAGCCATGAATGGCCAGAGCAATTTGACAGCTGTTGATGGATTTGGGGGACTGCAAACAGAACTATAACCATGGCTATAACTATCCATGTCACTGGTGCTTTCGCCGGCTGCAACTTTAATGCCTGAAAAGGAGATGCGGGGGTTGGTTGGATTGGGAAATCAATAAGGATACGGATTCGGGGGTTACTTACCACCCCCGCGGGAAGCAAAACACCCGATAACGGCCCGCTGGATTTATCCCCATTCAGGGTCTGGCGAAAGGAATTGCTGCAGTAAAAATTGGCACTGACAAGCAGCCGGGTTTTCGAGGTGGATCTGGAATCCAGAATACAGAATCCAGCAGCCAGAATCTCAAAGTGCTGGATGTGGCAGCGGTGGCGGTGATGACAACAGGAACAACAACAAAAAGTGGCGCCACCAAACTGCGACGCCATTTGTCTGCCAAAAAAAAAAGGAAGCAGCTTACCAGAAAAAAAATGCGGAAATGTGGAAAAATATCGCTCTTTAGACGTGACCTAGAATTCTTAAGTTTGGCCCAAACTTAAATGAACGAACGACTTGTTAACTTGGCCATGTGCGTGTTCTGCTCTTCGACATTCAATTGATTTATTGGTGCTAAATTTTTGCCCCACCATAATTAGGTTTTGTTTGTACAAATTGATTGAGTGTCCAGTTGATTGCCAGCTCATTTATTAAAGCCAACTGACATTGGCCACACCATATTAATAATTTAATTAGTTTTCATTCGAGCCAATTTATATGGCCATGAACTGCCTGGCATATCTTTGATTTAAGTCGGAAAAAGGACTTTTAATTAATTCCGATTAAGGCAATTTCACGCCAGGTAATCGATGCATCAGTCATTAAGCTATTCACAAACAGGCTTTCATTCGCATTAAGTGATATTATTAAAACATTGCCGGCAGAGTTATTGCACTTTCAATAATTTTCGTAAATAAATCGAGTTATTGTCGGTAGTTATTAACAGAAGCACAAGGTTCGTTTGAGTTTTGCATTTATTATCTTACACTTTATTATTTATTTCGCTTAAAAAAATGTTTGTTTATTTGATTAAATTTTATTTTGTTTTTGTATATTGCATTTATTATTTTATATTTGCTAAGGGTTGTTTACTTGATATTTAAAAATATTTGTTTATTTAAATAAATTTATTTAATTTCTGTGTTTGGCATTTATTGTCTTACATTTATTAAAGATTGTTTGCTTGGGCTTTAAATGTATTTGAATATTTAATTTAGTTTTGTTTAATTTTTTTGACTTAGTGCTGAATATAAAACATGTATATATTGGAGCTCAGCTAATTTGTATCGTCTGTCAACCGAGTATTAACTCATCAATCATATTATAGAACATATATCTTAAGTATTTAAGAGCAAGTGTCAGACCCTTGTCTAGTATGGTTTCTAAAGGAAAAACTTTTTATGATTCTCACGCCTCCGGGTTCTTAACCTTAATGTAAAGATTTATTCATGTTCAGAGGCCACAGCACTGCCCCCACTCGAGTTGGCCTTAAATATGTTTTAATTTTAGCAGCATGACTTCATGGCGATATTATCGATTTGCCGAATGGTTGCCAAAAAATGTTCCGTTCCGGCAAATGGCCAATGCCAAGAGGTTGATGTGGCTGCTGCCTTCGGAGTATTTGAGGGTCGACTGGCGCCGTCTGGTCGCGAGTAGAGCGAACAAAGTGTAACCTTAACACACGCAACTGAAATGGCGAAGGACTTTTCCTCCCCCTTTTCCAGGACACCCCCCTTTTTCCCAACAGCAGACAAAAAGGACAGACAATGCCGTTCATTACAGGAGGCGAAGCGTAGGAAAAACAAACAAGTTTTCCCAGCGTTGGCGACGCCGCTGCTGATAAAGCACAAAATTGTCGTCAAGGCTTTGCCAGAATTCTTTTTTCCTTTCTTTTTTGTTTTTAAATTGAACTGGGTCTGGTAACCAGGACGAGGAGGACTAGGGGGAACTTGGAGCAGCCGGAGGACTCTCGTGTGTTGGGCGTCATAATAAGGCTAACACAATGGGCAGGATTAAGTGGGTCCAAAGTGCAATGTGCTCGTCCTTTGTCGTTGCATTTGAAACCCAGGCAGCCCGAGGCTGTTGCTTGTTTGTTGCGCTTTTGTGTAGACGGCAACAACAGCTTCTGGTCGAGTCCTGGTCCTCCAACGAACATGTGCATGTCCTTGTTGGATGTCTAGTGGCTTCCACTACCGACTCCCGACTCCCCACTTCCGATATGTATTTGTACGTATGTACAGACCTACTAATGCGCTCTGGCCTGATTCCCGGCCCGATTCGCATTGCAATTGCAAAGTAAATGGCCTAATGCCCTTATCCTTTTAGCGTTGGTTGGGCATTCGTTTAGACCACCTCACCTCACCAAACCAAACCAAACCGTACTGAACCTTTTCCTCCTGGCTTCAGCACTTCCATTATACTTTCCACTATACTTTCTCTCCACACACTTTTTCACACCCATTTCCTATTTTTTTCTGCCGGTCTGTGCAAACATTGTCGCTATCGCAGTCGTTGGGTTTAAAAATAATTTGAATGCTCTCTGCGACTTTCTCACAGCGGAAGTGAGCAGGGAATTACGTTATAAGTAGCTAACTTCCTTTGCCCAGGAGCAACTTTCAAGTTCCGTTTTGTATTTGTTTATCTAGGCATACTTAGAAAGCAAGTTGGCAAATAATAGGTAACTGCTCGTTTAATAAGGTACTCCTACTAGATAACAGTTTGTATATTGTGTTTTTAAATTTATAAAAAGTGTTAACAAGTGTTTTTTAGGTATACCCCAGATTATGCACTTATGCATAATGGATTTAAAAAATAAAAGATTAATAAGCTAGCTCGATGTATATTTTATAAATATAAGAAAGCAAGCTTGCAAAACCAATTTTAATATTTTCTAATTTGTTCATACCTAGAAAATGTATTAATGATGATGATGAAATAAAACAATATTAACTAGTAACTAAGACTCAACTACTTAAATTAAAAAAAACTTTTTTTAACTGTTTAAATAAAACAGGGTTTTTGTTTTTAGAATAGAAACTTTTTAGTCGTTTTTGAAATATTTCCCTTGATTGTACACAAGGATAAATGGCGCATGTTATACTAATATTGGACGACCTGGAGGCAAGGCTAAAAGTTTGACATTTTCCCTGTACCTTTGTATATGGCCACTCGCCGAAATCCAGTCAATTTTCGTTCTCTCACGCTCCAGTGACCGAATTCTACGGGAATTGGTCCCATGGAGGGCAAAAAAACAGGAGGAGGCAGTGAACCATGCGGTTGTCAAATATTTGCACAGTTGTTAAATTCCATCAATGGCTTGTCACAACCAGGGACACATGTCAACGGCACAGATATTTTACCTTTTCTTTTTATTGCGAAAAGAAAAGCAGGCTATATGGCCAGATTGGAACACGTGAATGAAATAAACAAGAGATAAAACTATGCTAATTAAGTGGCAATTAGGGCGACCGAAGAAGTTTCCAAAACTCAGCTGTTGCATACCGAACAGATAATACCAACAATAGCGAAGAACCAACAAAATGGCGGGATGGTGACTTCCGGTTTATCACACATACAGCATACACCCGCGTAAGAGAGTGGAAAGAGAGAAGGAGCGAGAGAGAGAGAGGGAGAGAGCGGGAGAGCCGCCGTCGAACGCCATTGTTTATTTAAGCCAATATCCGTTATTTAAGTTGAACTTCCTTCCGGCAGACATTCGTTGTCAGCTGTTTGTTTGGCTTTTGTTTGAAATATTTAGCACTGGCGCAAGTGCAAATAGCAAATAGCGGCTCTATTTGGACAAAAGTTCAGCAGACACAACACAACTGCAGTTTGTCTGCGGCAGCGGACAAAGTTCAGCCAAAGGAAGTGTGAACTTTGTGCCATTATATAAAGTTAGCGGCACTCGTGCGGAGCCAAAAAGCAACTCGAAAATCACATGGCATAAATTGCCGTGCGAAATTTCTGTCAAATTTGCCAGCGTTTGACCGCAAATGAATGCAATTCGCCAAAGGCGAGAAATACCACTTGGCAAACATTTAGTTTTGCGGTTCATTTTGAAGAAGTCAAGCCAATCTTAAGCTTATAAACTGTTTGTTTACATATTAAGCAATTCACAATCAGATAAATCATTTTTTAAATAAAATATAAAAAAAGATTGCAACACCAGTAACATGTTCATCATCAAACTAGCCTTGACCCAATGTCAAATATTCATTGTGATTTCTGTACTCAGCTCCCATACTTTTCAGTTTTTCTAAACCATTCAAACACATAACATCTACTTTTATACGAGCTCGATTTTAAAAGAATTTCAAAATTTACGTTCCATAATATCGGCACTAAAAGTTGTTAAAAATTTCACATTCCTGAATATCTTTATCCACCAAAATGGATGATTGCTTACGTGGACCATCAAGAAAGTATTCATTCAAAGTGGAGAAAATGAAGACAATCGATCCCATTCAGAGCTTCGTAGAATTCCCCAGACCTAGGGGCCCAATGCGAAACACTGTTGGCAGAAAGGTTCCTAAGCTTCGACCAAACAATAATGATCTTGCTAATTATGATGGGATCGAAGTTATCAGGGTGCGTAAGATCACGCGAACGGTGAAGAAGAACAAGCTCGAAATACCCAAGGGCGGGAAGCGTCCCAACACCAAGGCCGCTGTGAAGAAAATGATAAAAATCGATCCTATTCAGAGCTCCGCAGAATTTTCCAGACCTAGGGGTCCAATGCGAAGCACTGTTGGCAGAAAGGTTCCCAAGCTTCGACCAAACAATGATGATCTTGCTGTTTATGATGGGATCGAAGTTCCTAGGGTGCGTAAGATCACGCGAACGGTGAAGAAGAACAAGCTCGAAATACCCAAGAGAAGGAAGCGTCCCAACACCAAGGCCGCTGTGAAGAAGAAGCGTGGTGCAGCCGCCAAGAAAACTGGACAAGCCAAGACCGCTTACATCCTACAGTCCGATGAAAAACAATCCACCGAAGATCCCAAAACCGAAGGGAGTAACAACTGGCTCTTCTGGAAGAGATGGTTCTCCAGCGATCCTCAAACCAAATAAAATCAACGAGCAGGTATCTCCAGAGGAATAAGTAATGATCTAGTACAAGCACCACTCTTATATCAAGGATTTTAAATATCTTGAATAACACCTTTTTATCATGCGACATCTCAAATTTAAGGAGCCGCACTCGGCACTTTCGGCCTTTCGACAAATTGCATAATAAACACGCTGCCAGCGAAGCATTGGAAGAGGATGCTCTGGGCCAGGTCCATTATGCACCTGCAGATGGCCAAAAACTTTACCGTTGCCATTATCTTTTTAGAGGGGGCGGGTGGGGGAGTGGGAGTGGTTCTGCCCTGCTTTGTTTCAACATGTTTGGGCTAATTAATGTCGGGAGCCATTGCTGGGTTAACTTGGCCAACGGTCTGCCATTTTGTTTCCACCTATACACGGGCAGGCAATTGAAATTTAGGACCGGAAGTTTATTGTAGCAACAATAGAGCGAACTTGGCAGCGGATACCATCCCCGAACCGCTGGTGTCCTTTAAGAACTATAGTTCTCGTCGGGGGGGTTTTGTTCTTAAATAAATCCCTACGAGCATAAATGAAATGCAAACTTTTTTCCGGTAAGCTGGCGCTCTAATTGTTGCAGTTGGAGTTTCCAACTCCTGTTGTTTCAGGTTATCTGCCCCCTGGGTTTTCTCCGGCACCCTCTTGTTTTTATAAGAATATATTTTCTTTTTTTTTTCTATCTAATATGGAGCACCTTTAAATTGAAAACCTAATGAGAAAACGCCCTTGGGGAAGTGCTCAAAAATTAAACAAAAAGAGCTGCTGGTTACGTGCTTCTGCCAACATAATTGCGCTTAAAATCGTTTAAGTGTTTTATAATCCGCCCAACGATTTTTTCCAGCTGCTGTGGCCGCTTTAAACGATGTGCCATCCATTCTGGACGATACCAGAAATTCGCAAAGAGTGTAAAAAACATGCAGAATGGGTAAAGCAAACCGAAATGGCTTTTTAAAGCGTTGGGCAGGACGACGATCCTTTCATGAGTGCGTGTGTGAGTGTGGGTGCGTATTTGCTTGTGCTGGTCAGTTAAGGCTCTTATGAACGCACACACACACACTTGTCCATGGGAGCCATTAAAAGCGAAGCAAATTTTTGCACGCCGTTTGCGGATTTTTGGCGCTTTTTCTTGTGGCCAACGCGGCACCACAGTGGCATGCAATTCGCCAGCGGTGCAGCTGCCGTGCAAGTGGGTTAATTACGAACGTGGTGCATATACACAGCCAAGGAAATTAGCTTATTTTTGGAGATATCTCATTTCAATGCATTTTTTTTAGGCTCATTAGAATCAGTTCAGCATGATTTATCTCATATATGTACATATATATACAATATCGTAGAATTTATTTTTTACGATGACTAAAAGTATGCAATGATATTTTTTCGTTTACTATATTCTGTTTTACTCTGCATACTTTTAGACATCTTTAAATAATTTTAAAAAAAGTTTAACTCTATAATTTAGTTTGCAGGGTTTGAATTACACTCCAATTATTTGGTCGTCAACGGGATTAGAACTACTCAACTTCATCTAACAGGTCAAAACATAAAGCGATAATTTATTAAGAAACAATACGTTCTGTTTTATTTGGACATTAAAATAACAGTGAGAACTGTGACTTTATTACCCTTCTATTTCGGATTTGCTAAAACATCTCTCTTTTATGACAAACATATGTTACTTTCATTTCGAAATTTTAATCACCTATTAAGAAACACTACGTTCAGTTTTACACTGCATGCTTTTAGACACTTTTATAAGTGATTTTAAAATAATAGTGCTTGAGTGATTTTACTACCCGTTTTACTACGGATTTGCTAAAACATCTCCCTTTGATGTTTTCAAATTAAATCAAACAGTTTTCATGTTTCCTTTTCTACAGACCAGCTGTTACATAAATATTTATATGCAAGGCAAGCCCAGTTTTATTTGCTCTTCAAAATTGTTGTGACATTCTTTCGCCTGAGTGCCTGCCATTTGACTTGAATAATCCCAAGCCAACCCGCAACACCTTAAAGCCAAGACGTAAATTAAATTTATTCACACATTTGTATATGGAGATGCGTGTGTGCTCTGGGAAAACCTTTGAGCTTCCGCTCTATTTTAACCCACAAGCCGGGCGCCAATTGGGGTCACAATTGTGGGTGAGGAATCCGTCTGCGGACCTAAAATACATTTCATACCTTAAAAACCCTTTTGGCCGGGGCAACCACTCGACGCACCACTTGCTGGAATTCTGAAAAAGTTCCCACTTACCCGGAACTTAAGACACTCAAGGGCCGGTTCACATGTGTGTGTATGAATGGGACATATGTGTAGCCCACATGCACCGAGCAACAGATACATCGGCCTTCGTATGCAAATACCGGAGTGAGCCACTTAGGAGCATCTCAGGTTGGGATGCCTCCACCTTTTTGGCTTACGTACCTGCAGGAGACAAACAACAAATAAACATAAGTAATAATGTCGAGCTTCTGTGGTTAGTGACATGAATATGAATGTATCTTATTTTTTACATATTTATTTCCGCTTTTTCCCGTTTGCTACTCCCCTTTTCCTATCCCCAAGGAAGTATGCTTATTTAAATGGCAAACAAATAGACATGCAAACCAGAGGACCAGGACCAGAGATGTATGTAACCGAAGCTGTCGACAGCTTTTGCCCTCGTCCCATGTCCTGGGTGAGGCGATTGTGAAGCGCTTAAATCTTTAGAAAATATCTAAATTGTTCTCCATGGCTTTTGTGTCAGCTGTCCCACCCAGACACACACAGATACACACGAACAGGCGAGTGTGCGACATGCATTATGCTGTTTTTGACTTTGCCACAAAACTACGTAAAAATGTCTTTCTCGTTTCGCCTCGTTGCCTGTGAAATGAACTTCATTGTAAGCCGCTCTGGGGATTTGCTGTGACAAATGAAATTTATAGTTCTCCGATCCCCTATTCCCCGGACTGCACAACTGCAAAGCTGCAAATCTCCGTATGCTGGAAATCTAATTCATCTTTCAAATTAGTAACGTATTTTTCTGCATATGGGATTCGCCGTAAAAGGAAGTAAAATTGATATGGTATTGCTCATACGTTTTGCTTTAGAGCAAATTTAAAATAAAGTAATATAATACGAAATTTTAATAAAATGTAGTATTACACATAATTATAAGTCTTCTTTTATTTATTATTACCATATTATATTCTTGAAAATATATTAAGATTATTATAAGTCCACTAAACAGCTCATTTTTATTAAATTTTAAGTATAAGCATTAAAAAAGAATATATAAATATTTTTTCCAGCAGTTAAGTGTTTACTATAGTATTATGTATTTTACGTATTTAAAATATAATTTAATTAGAATGCCTAATTCTTGAAAACCACATTTTGTTTTCGTATAAAAAATTCACTTATAAAAAGCCGCGAATTATATTATTTCAACCTAAACAGTTAATTTTTTTCGTATTTAGTTCGTTAGTTAGCGCTCTTTAACTGTGAATTTAAATATTTTAAAAATTCAAGTAAATATTAGGTATAAATCTAGTCGAATCCCCGTCATTATATATGTGACTAGCTTTTCGTGTAGCCAACAACCGACAATGCTCCTTTGTGCAGATGTGACATGCAGCCCCAAAAGTGGCATAAATAAAATTTCATAGCATGCTTTTTTGCGCTGGCAGCGAGAGATGTGCATACGGATACGGATGTCCATGGGCAGTGTCATTCGTCATCTATTGCTGGACAGGGTTAACCCCGGCAAAGAGTGGTTTTTATATAAGCATCCATCATTTCCAACTTACCCCAACACCGTCCCCCCAGATTTTTTGACCAAGCCAAGTCATTAGCCTGAGTGCTGGTACTTTAAATTTGTCAATGGATGGGGGCTCACTTTAATCAGATTTATCAAAGGACATGGGACACAGGACATCGTATGGGCCTGAGTGACAGCTGTTTGCGGTCGGTAAGCTCGGGTGGTCAAATGGATAGCCTGTTGCATTCGCTGGAGCACCGAAAAGGGGCTCCCCTGCTAATCTAATAAGTTGCCTAACAAACCGCAGGATACTATTCTGTAATACAAAATCCTCGTTCATGCGAGTGTGTGTGCGGTTGTGTTGAAGTGTGTGTATGAGCAGTGCAAGTTGTTGTGGTTAATTTTGTGTGAGACAGCTCTCTAAGTGTGGCCTGCACTTGCGGTTGCTCGAAGATTTGATTGCAACTGTAATTTGGGCACGCCTGGCTGCCCAATAGCTCTTCTCCGACCTCTTCAGCGAGGAGAGAAGTCGTTTATTACATGGGGATGCACTTTCTGCATTAATGAGTTTAATACTCTCAAGACATCCTATCTTCAAACGGGCGTAAACCATTTTAGATGATGGTATTGGTGTCGAATTAAGCTTTACCACAAATGAGAAATCTTTAATCACTTAAGGTAGATCTACTAGATTACCCTTTAAACCAGTAAAACCACTTTTCAACACATTAAAAATTCTGAAATGTGTGTGACCAAAGTTTTTAAATAAATAATAATAAAGATGTCTAAAAGTATGCAATAAAATATTTCCAATTGGAAAGTTGAGTTCATTCCACTGCATACTTTTAGACAGTTTTATAAGGGATTTAAAAACTTTTACTAATTTCACTTATGAATTTTATGTCATTTATTAGTTGTATTGTTAGGATATTTTTCTGGTGTATACTATCCCTTTTTCCCTTTCGCTTAAGTGACTGTGCCGAATTTCGTGTGGAGATTGCCAGCATTTGTTTTAAAATTAAAGTGCACAGCAGCAGAAAAGCAACAGCGGGTGCACTCCTTTTTTGTCTCCAGCCAGGATAACACTATCCTTTTCGAAACGAAAGCGAGGACCATGGGTGGCCCTTTTTCCCGGTTCTTTCTACGCCACATTCCGGTTGTACTACATATATATCTGAGTTATGTGCCATCAGCCAGTGCTGATTAAGCGGAGCATCGCAGCACCGCGGGCACCTCCATCTTCTCGTGATTTTTCTGGACTGCGGGCGGT